CACCCATGCGCCGGCCTGCAGTCAGCCCTCCCGCTCCTGGGGTGGTGACAGACACTTTCTTCTTTTCTTCCAGAAAAGGAAAATGAGTTGATCCCTTGTGGTGTAGATGTGAAAAGGGGGAACGGGATGGTGGTTCCTGGTGCTCAGGCAGGGGACAGAGGATAAGTCCTGAGCCAGGGCTTCTGGGTGGGGCCCGTGGGAGTGGCTGTGTCAGGAATGAGCGAGCTTTCTGCACTTGACTGAGCTTAGCCAGGGGTCCCCCGGCTTTCAGTACCAGCTCCCTCCAGTGGTGCCTGGAAAGTGGACCCGCATGCTGTGCATCTCCAGAAGGGGAAGGAGAGCAGTCCCCAAAGCAGCCCTCTGACGGCAATGAGGACTTGTGCCCATGGCAGTCTGTGTCCTGGCAGTAAGCCCACGCAGGAGCAAAATGCTTGGAATCCTGAGTCTCCCAGCGGGGGAGCCAGACTCATGCCCCCTCACGTGGAATCCGAGATGTGACAGCATTTGTTCTGTGAATCCATGATAAAGCAGATGCATGTGCTTATGTTAACAGCAATGAATATCTGTATGCTGGGGACACAGAAAACCCCAATATTTATGCAAAAAAAATCCTACTTTAATAAAACAAGCAAAAAATGTATATATGTATATGAATGTATGTATTTAATTCCCATATGCTTAGGTACAGAACATCCAAAGAGCATTTGGCTAGAATAGCTGTCTAGAACAGTGATGGCGAACCTCTGACACATGAACTCATTTTTTTGGTTGATTTTTCTTTGTTAAATGGCATTTAAATATAGAAAATAAATATCAAAAATATAAATCTTTGCTTTACTATGGTTGCAAATATCAAAAATTTCTATATGTGACATGGCACCAGAGTTAAGTTAGGGTTTTTCAAAATGCTGACACGCCGAGCTCAAAAGGTTTGCCATCACTGGTCTAGAATATAAAAATAACATTCCCCAAATCTCAAAAAATAATGGAAAAATTAGAAAAACAGTTAATTAATATTTAATATCTAAGTTTTATTTCATATGTGTATCCATTGTATAAAATCAATGTGGGTTCCACTTAACTCTAAGAGTAAGAAACTATATTGGGGTAGAAACTAGAAAATTAGGTGTAAGTCAGCCTCTTCAACATCACATGGGAGGCACTGACCTTTTGCACTTAAAATTTTCATTGTGAACACCAAATCATTTTGAGATATTCTGGAGAGAAATTAACATCCTTCCAAAGTGTCTTAGTATTGCTATGTTCCAGGACTGTGAATCTTTACAATAGGCAATTTATATATAGCATCAATCATAGGTAACTTTAAGTATTAACTGTTAAGATTGTCGATATAATTAAACTAGAGGCCTGGTGCATGAAATTTGTGCACTGGGTGGTGGTGGTGGGGGGGTGTCCCTCAGCCCAGCCTGCACCCTCTCCAATCTGGGACCCCTTGGGGGATGTCCACCTGCCAGTTTAGGTCCTGTGGGATCAGGCCTAAACTGGCAGTTGGACATCCCTCTCACAATCTAAGACTGCTGGCTCCCAACTACTTTCCTGCCTGCCAGCCTGATCACCCCCTAACCACTCCCCTGCCAGCCTGATTAATGCCTAACTGCTCCCCTGCTGGCCCGATTGCCCCCAACTGCCCTCCCCTGCTGGCTCAGTCGCCCCAACTGCCTTCTCTTGCTGGCCAGGAAGCCCCTAACTGCTCTCCCCTGCCTGCCTGGTTACCCCAACTACCCTGATCACCCCCTAACCACTCCCCTGCCAGCCTGATTAATGCCTAACTGCTCCCCTGCTGGCCCTCCCCTGCTGGCCCAATTCCCCCCAACTGCCCTCCCCTGCAGGCCTGGTCTCCCCCAACTGCCCTCCCCTGCTGGCCTGGTCGCCCACAACTGCCCTCCCCTGCTGGCCATATTGTGGCGGCCTTCTTTTGATCACATAGGGGTGGCCATCTTGTGCGAGGAGATGATGGTCAATTGGAATATTACCTCTGTATTATATAGTATAGAAATAATTTTTAAGTTCTTGCTTGGGGCTGATTCTGAAACCAGAACAATGTCCTGTCTGGTGCAGACATTTCCCCACCCTTTTCTCAGATGTTGGTGTTCCTCAGGCCTAGGCCTTCTCCTCTTATCTCATCACTTTCCTCAGTGAGTCTATCAGCAACTTGGGCTTCATTTACTAAGTATAAGTAAACTCCAAATAATAATAAGGGCTGCCATTTGTTGAGCACTTACTATGTGCTAGGTCCTGTACTTTACAAGCATTAACCCAGTTAATAGTTGTAACTGCCCTCCCTGCAAGGTAGGAACAGCCCACTTCTTCTAGCAATCACTTGGATGCCCATATCATGGGTAGCTCAAACTCCACATTCCCAAACTTAACTTACCTTCCCCACAAATGTGCCTGTGCTCCTCCATAACATCATACAAGTCATCACTGTCCAGAAATGTGTAAGTCACTCTGGACTCCTCCCTCTCATTTATTCTCCCCTCCCAATCAGCTCCAAGTTCTATGAGTTCTACTTCCTAAGTATCCCTTCATTCTATTCATATTTTTATCTTCTAGACAAAGCTCCCATCATTCCTGGCCTGGAGACCTGCAACAGCCACCCAGCTCATCTCTCTGCATCTTGTCCTATTTTTCTAATTCTGGCTACTATACTAGCTTAACCTTATGACACTGGGCATCTAAAATATGGGGATAATAATGAGGTCTCTCATCCTTATAGGCTGCTTGAGTAAATATGATATATGGCATCTAAGTGTTAGGCGCTTAATGAAATCTTAACTCAGCTGACATATAAATTGAGGCGATTTGATGCTAGAGACTACCCGCTTAACTGCCACCACATATGTCCTGGGAAGCCCACCGTAATCAGAAAGGTCATGATGAAAAAGGATATGAGAAAGAATAACTTAGAATTAAAAGTTTTTTAGGATATAAATATAAGTATACTTAAGTTATTCTAAAACTTAGCAGCTTAAAACAACACAGCTTAGTTAGGTGCCCCTGGCTTAAGGTCTTTCATGAGGTTGCAAACTATTAGCTGGGGCTGCAATCTCATCTGAAGACCTGCCTGAGGCTGAGGGGCTTCCAATCTCACTCAGCGGTTCATGGGGGCCTTCGCCAACTGCCACGTGAGCCTTTGCTCAGGGCTGCCTGACCACACGGCTACTGGTTTGCCCCTCAACGGGTGATCCAAGGGGCAGTGAGAGAGAAAGGGCCCCAAGATGTAAGTCACAATCTTTAATAAACTCATCTCAGAGGTGCTATTCCATCACTGTCATTCAGTAGGAGCGAGTGATTAAATCCAACTCATACTCAAGGAAAGGGGATTACACACAGCAAGAGACCACTGAAGGCCATCCTGGAGGTTGCTTACTAGTACCACCCAGGTAAACATCACACCTTGCAGGGACAGAGGGGGGATGCTGAGGAAAAAGTGGGGCCTATCAGCATATCCTTTAGCCCTCTCTGTTTTTGGAGTTACATTGAGTTGCATGTCCTGCTAATTCTTCATCAGTAGATACACTCTTATTCCTGCCTCCTCCTCACCACCACCTCTGCCGCATGTGGGACAGGTTGGAGAACCCAAACATTCTTAGGAACTGTTGCATATCAGACTATTTACATAATTCTAAAATAGATCAGCATTACAGTAGCTACTTGCTCTGTTGTTAAATGTGAATCCAAATCAGGGGAATTGGGGAGACTGGGTGAAAAAGGTGAAGGGATTAAGTACAAATTGGTAATTATGGAACAGTCACAGAGATGTAAACTACAGCATAGGGAATATAGTTAATAATATTGTAATAACTATGCATGGGACCCCATGCATACTTGAAATATCGGGGGGACCACTCTGTAAAGTACATGATTATCTAACCATTACGCTGTACATCTGAAACTAAGACACAATTATATTGAATGTAAATTATAATAAAAAACTTTAAAAATTTAATTAAAAATAGAGTGGATTAAGTATAACTATAAAAAAGAAAACAACAAAAATTAAAATTTAAGCATCATGAAGTTCTAAAAATTAAAGCAACTCAACTTATTATTAATATTTTTAATCCTTACCCGAGGATATTTTTCCATTGATTTTTAGAGTGGAAGGAAGGAGGAGAGACACAGAGAGAGAAACATCAATGTAAGAGAGACACATCAACTGGTTGCCTCCCACACAGGCTCCACAGGGGCCGGGCCTGCAACTGAGGTACATGCCTTTACCAGAATCGAACCTGGGACCCTTTAGTCCATGGGCTGATGCTCTACCCACTGAGAAAAACTGGCGAGGGCAACTCAACTTACTTTTAAAAGAATTAAATCTCTATTGGAGGAGATTTTTAAATTATAACACAAGTTAATAGTGAAAATAATTATTTTATGATATAATGTCCATATTTCTGAGAAGTATTTTTTACTATATTTCAATCTACTATTACGAGCAACACACAGAGCATTACAGGTTGAATGTGTGTAGAAACACAGGAGAAAAGGGCTGTCTACCAGCCAAGGGGAGAGGCCCTGAGCTGATCCTTCCCCACAGGCCCCAGGAGGAATCAACCCTGCTGACCCTTGATTTTAGACTTCCAGCCTCCAAAACCATGAGACAATAAATACACTTTTGTTGTTCAAGCCACCCAGTCTGGTTCTTTGTGATGGTTGTCTGAGCAAACAAATACAGCAAGAAAAAAGAAAAGGAGAAATTCAGAGAGAGAAGCAGAGCAGGGTAAAGAGAGCAGGAGAAAGACTATGTGTTGATTTTAAAGAGAAATGCATATGGGCCTGTTATTAAAATCTCATTTAGCACATTTATGGAGCGGAGTGGCTCTATTCCAAGAGGCTGATAGAAATTTTCAAAAACGTGTGCAAATGGAACTCAGTGCCAGGTGAAAAGAGCCAGACTTTCTCTCTACAGGTGGGGCCGCACCTGGCAGGGGCGGGCACCGGGGTGGGCAGAGCCCAGGAGCAATGGGAGAGCTCACCTTCTGGTAGTCTTCTTTGGATCGCAGGGCCACCTCCATGTGTGAGGCGAAGGTCGGATAAATGGCTGAGCGGTACTGAGAGCCGTGGTCATTGCCTTGGCGCATGCCTGGGAATGTGGAAAGTAGAGGATTACTGGGGTGACTGGACCCCATGCATACTTGAAATATCGGGGGGACCACTCTGTAAAGTACACGATTATCTAACTATTATGCTGTACATCAAGGCCAGGGCCACTTGGTCTCTATGACTCATGTGCCAAGTGCTTCTTTAATTTTATCTTGCCACCTCCCTTCTTAAATAAGCATAAAATGTATCTGTTTTGCTTTGCCTATTTTAATTATAACACATACTAGAGGCCCGGTGCATGAAATTCATTCACTGGGGGTGGGAGCGGTCCCTCAGCCCAGCCTGCACCCTCTCCAATCTGGGACCCCTGTGGGATTGGGCCTAAACCGGCAGTCAGACATCCCTCTCACAATCCGGGACTGCTGGCTCCCAACCACTTGCCTGCCTGCCTGCCTGATTGCCCCTAACTGCTTCTGCCTGCCAGCCTGATCACCCCCTAACTACTCCCCTACCAGCCTGATTGATGCCTAGCTGCCCTCCCCTACAGGCCTGGTCGCCCCCAACTGCTCTCCCTTGCTGGCCTGGTTGCCCACAACTGCCCTCTCCCTCTGGCCATCTTGTGGCAGTCATATTGAAACCACATGGGGGTGGCCATCTTGTGTGAGGGTATGAGGGTCAATTTGAATATTACCTCTTTATTATATAGGATCTTTGAACCTAGTTAAATTTATCACAGGTCTTGGATCATAGTAGATGCTCTCTAAGTATGCATTTTTCTATGCAGATACTTAAATCATCATTTAGTCCATTTATCACTTACAAAGCTCTGTGATGCACATTATTCCTTTGGCTCCTAATGAGACTCCCTCAATGGCAGGTATTGCTGTCCCTCACTCAGCAGTTAAGGATATGTGATGATGTGCATGTCAGGGCCTGGGACATTGCTAGGTATGTGGGAGGTGCCTATAAGTGACACAGTAACTGATGCTCAGCCTATGATCATACACCTAAGCAAAAAAAAAATCCCTGAGACCTAATGTTGCCCAGTGCACTTTTCACCCTGTCACAGCAGCTAGGATGTAGATGGTGGTCGATTTCTCACTGAGTCATTTAGTCCTCAAAGCTAAATAGCCACAGGCTTAATATGGATCCCCTACTGATCTCTATACTGCTGTTCAAATGAACTTCACATGTTTATTGCATCATTCAAGAATCAGTGTCAGTCTTAACAAATGCCCCAAAACTCCAACAGAAGATTCAACCTTTCAAAGAAAACCAGTTTTGTATTTCAAACTTGATGCACAATTATATCACCTGGGGATGTTGTCAAAATGCAGGTTCTGATTCTACAGGTCTGAGTGAGCCTGAAATTCTGCATTTCTAAATTGTTCAGGGGTGGTGCGGGGTTACCAGATGGAATTTTGGGTAGCAAGGGTTTAGTGTTTGCCCAGATATCTTCAAGATTCCTTTATAACCTGTCAGTGACATTTTTAATTCCAGCAATGTGGTGAGGAAAACCTGAATCTTCCAAGCTACACTTTCTCAGGTATGGCGTTGACAAGGCTCCTTCCACCCCACATGTCATATACACACCATTCACGGAACTCCTATTCTTTTACATTTTTTAAATTAATGGTTTATTTTTATAGAGAGAGGAAGTGAGAGGGAGAGAGAGAGAGAGAGAGAGAGAGAGGCATCAATGTGAGAGGGAGATATCAACCGGCTGTCTCCTGAACACCCTCTACTGGGGATGGAGCCCAAAACCAGGGTATGTGCCCTGACAGGGAATCAAATCATTGACTTTTTGGTGCATGGGATGATGCACAACCAACTGAACCACAGTGGCTGGGCAGAAATCCTCTTCAATCTTAAGTCTTAGTTCAAGCATCTTCTCTCTGGAAAATCTTCCCTGGTCACACCTCACATGACAGTCACAGACTCCTGTGGGCCCCCTAGAGGTTTTATCATGCTGCATTGGTATCACGTGGTTGTCCTTTTTTCTCTTCTGGAACGCCAGCGGGCATAGTGTTACAGCCACAGTGCCTGATATAACCTCAGCCAGAGGGATATACTTCTACTAATATTTGTTGCATGAAGAACACATGGTTCATACCTTGTGATCCGGGGCCACGCAATCAATACTGGAGGGCTCTGTCACATTTACTTTGTAAATGTAAATACAAATTCCAATATAAATAAAATAATCTTTCTTAGGAGCTGCAGGGAAAAACTACAAATGAGCTGCTATGTTTGATCTTAGAGCTAAGCTCTGGAGTTAAGGACACCAAGGTTCACTATGGATGGGCAAGCTAGAACTCATGCTCACAACTGAGGGCCCAGAACAGAGGGTTAAATGGTAACAAAACAGTGGGACTTAGGGTCAAGCCATAGGCTACTAGCAAGGAGAGGATGGCACTCTGGAGGTGTTTATGTGTGTATGTGAGTGTGAGGGGGTATTTCTGATGCCTACTTGTCCACACCCCCAGTTTAGCTGACTTCTTGGCAATTTCCTCCCACCTTCGAAGCCCCATCCTCTCCTCGCTGCACAGAGATCAATGAGGACCAGGAGCTAATTAGTGACTAAAAGAGCCAATAATGACACAAAAATGTTAATTTAACCTATTGTATGCCATAAGCATCTATAGAAGCAAGTGGCGGACCTCCCCCACATGCCATGTGCGTCTATAGCTGCAAACCTTGCATATCAACTCTGCTCACCCAATTTTAAAATCAGATTTATTAGTGACATCTCTGGGTTTGTAAAGAAAATTATGGTAACTTAAATTCATAAATATTCCAGCGCATATGGAAGAAATGGGGATGGTTTCTGTTTTGGACATGTGGCAGTTGCTGGTTAATAATATATAATAAAAATAAACCCTCTCACCCCTCCAATAAACAAATATCAAATTAAAACATCTATTTCAATGTAAGCATCCTAGTATTATTAGCATATACAATATATAAGTACTAGAGGCCCGGTGCACAAAAATTTGTGCACTTGTGGGGGGAGGGGGGTCCCTCAGCCAGGCCTGTGCCCTCTCGCAGTTTGGGACCCCTCGGGAGATAACAACCTGCTGGCTTAGGCCTGCTCCCGGTGGCAGAGGGCAGGCCCAATCCCTAGGTGCAGCCCCTGGTTGGGCTCAGAGCAGGGCCGATTGGGGAGTTGGGGCACCGCACCCTGTCATGCACAGAGCAGGGTGGATCAGGAGGTTGCGATGCCAACCTCAATCATGCTCAGGGTAGGGCCAACTGGGAGATTGGGGTGCCCCCTGTCACACTCAAGGCAGGGTCGATGGGGAGGGGGTGGGCCCACCCCCTGTCACGCACAG